AAAGAAACGCACAGGAGAAAAGAACGGGTAGTGAAAAGAAACAAAAACCAAAAAGGAAAGAGAAAGAAGAGGTAGGAAAGAAAGGAAAAAGAGAAGAAGAAAAAGTCAAACACGCAGAAAACGGCGCATAGAGAAAAAAAGAAAAAAAACTACAAATATCAGAAATTTTCACGTTTCGTCCGTTTTTAGTGATATCTTTCAACTTTTTCATGTTTTTATTTTTACAATATGAATAACTAATTTTTATATTAGGGGAAAAAAATGTAGTCGATTTGTGTTCCTTTATTTTTCTATTCAAGATTTCTGTAATTTATTTATTTATGTATTGGTTTTATTATGAGTTTAATGTATTAAATTATCTTATCAATAATTTGATGATTATGTGAGTCTCTTACGAATCGAGATGTGAGTTTGAGATTTAGACCATATAATAAAATTCGGTAATTTAGTATAACGTGTAGAGATACATATACTAATTATTGCGATCATAATATGAATTCTTAGAACTAGTATTTCATTTAACTAAAATTGATTCACTTAGATATATGGAATTGAATTAATTAAATAGGCTCAATGAGAACTCGAGAGGGGTAAATTGAAAACAATAGAAGAATTCAATTGAACACTATATTAGATTATGAATCTTGAATTAAGAATAAATGTAGATAATAGATGAAATTGTAATGCCCTAATATTCATCACATATTTGTTTCTTCAATTATCCATTGTTTGCATTCATTTTCTATTTTCAATTAGTCAAAAGTAGTTAGGAAAAAATAAACACAATCATCATAAATATTTACTTGCTTTTGTCATATATGAGTTAATAAAAATTAGATTAAGTCTGAAAGTATAGTCTTAGTGGGAACGATATCCGGAATTAAAGGTCAATTATACTACTTGTTACCATATCGTACACTTGCGATATAAAAAACGCAATAAGTTTTTGGTGCCGTTATTGGAGACTATTTACTTTTAGTCTTAATTTATTTTATTTTTAACCGTTATTTGATTTTATTTATTATTTATTTTTCTTCGTTTTCCTTTTTTATATCATTTAATTAACCTCATACAGTTTTAATCTATCTTGTGTTGGTATTATCTCTCTGTACTTTTCAAATATTTATGCATGATTTTAATATTGGTAAAGTAACAAAAAAGTTATAATGACAAATTTCTACATTGATTGTCAAGATATGTTTGGAGGATATTCAAGTTGTGAAAATTGTTACGCGATGCATTGTACTGGGAAATTGATGTGTAGAAAACAAGCAATTGAAAAATCTGATGAAAAAGTACATGCTCGTGGGAGATTTTGTATCGACGATTGGAATGAGGACATCAAACTTGTGGAAAATGGTCCTCCTCCATTGAACGAGAAGGTACTTGCACAGTACTTTCAAGAACTTGTCAAGTTGGATGAAAACGATATGCTCATGGGAGATTTCATATATTGGGAAAGATTTCAACAATGAGGATACAATCCATTCGAAGGAGTCAAAGGGACTGACTTCTCATTGTCTGTGGATCTAGATTGTGGAGCGATCATTGAACCAGAAGATATATCGACTATGGAATAAGGAATTAAAGAGAATAACGTGTTGATCACAACGGAATTAAGTGAGGATGTGACAAGCAATGAGAATGAAATCAACTCACATTTTTCCAACTTTATTAATTGTCAAAAAATTGATTTTGTGATTAAACCCGATGTAGGAGTGAAAGTCTACATAGTTGAAATTGAATAGGATGAACTAGAAAAGTCATATTACATCGAAAATTGCAAGGTAGATGTTTGAAGACTAAATGAAAAGTAGATCAAAACCAAACAAAGGAAAATGGGCAAGACATCCAAAGTCTTCTTTAGGTGCCCGTGATTCAATTGTCAAAGTCGAGTTAAAGACT